CCTGTCCACCTCGCGCTCCATTTTCCCATCACTCGTGAACAAGATCCCGAGATACTTAAATTTCCTCGCTTGAGGAAGATTGATGTGGCTTTTGCGAGATCCCGAGAAAGTTTTGCAAAATCTCGCAAAAGATACCTCCTCTATTGTTTTTCTCCTTTCTCCATGTTCCTTCTGAAACAGATGCTGTGATTGCTTTTCTTTTTGTTTTGCACATATTTCTACTCCGGAAGCGCCTTCAAGACCACATTCTGATGAAAACCAAGCTTCTAATCTGAACTAAGCTTCTTGGTTTTGGTTAAAATCCTGCAGATTTCTGTTCAGTCTGCAGTCAAATAATACATCTGAAAAAAACAGAAAAGCTGCTGTGATATAAAAATGGTCTCAGTGTCTTTAAAAGTTAAGATGATATATAATTTTAAATCTTTGTAAGATGATAAAAGCAGGATTGAACAAACTTTGTGCTCAGATTACTGCAGCAAGAATCTCTGTTTGGTCTGAGTTTAACTGAACGAAGGAGGTTTAAAGGCGCTAATTATCGTCTGACAGGAACATCTGTGTGTCATCAGCATAAAATCACGTCTAGCAAACTTAATTAAAGGCTTTTTCTTCTTCACTCCCACCTCCAGTGCCTGAAACTGGATTTTTATGCTCGTAATTTTCAGAAATCATCCGTCTGTCAATCACCTTCGTTTCCTTCAGGTGAGGAGTCGATAATAAAATCGGAAGTTTAAAGACCAGGAGCTCCTGTGCATGCTTCCGTCTCTCAGCTGCCTTCTTAAGATGCAGGCCGGCGCCTTTGTAGTCACTTCATTATGTAGAAATGATAATTACGCCCCACTGGAAGCAAGCTCCCCCAAAATGTATTAAAGCCCTCATTCACATCCACTGATAATCAAGTCGTGACTGTCGTTTGGAAATTTTTTAATTTCGGGAGAGCGTTTAAAGAGACGTGCACACACACAAAAATAAAAAAATCCTGCATGACTTTTATTCCCTCCCAAACACTCGAGTCTTTGCTTTATTTGACATCACAGTTAAGGCAGATAAGACATGACGGTGCTGCACTCGGTGAAGTGGAGGCCGAGTCCAAACGCCGAGCCGCCGCACGTTGAGCTAATGACCATATTAGAGGATAAATGGGCGCTCGGTGCTGCAGCAGCCTTTCAAGTGTGCTACAGGGAGGCTGCAGGCCGAGTTATCAAAGTCTGAGGAGCAGCAAAGGCAACCGCAGATTAAACCGAGTGCCGTCGCTCGAAATTAAACTGAACTCCCAAATAAAATAAAATAAAAAACGCCTCGTCCACACGTAGCAGGGTTTCCTCCGCCCTCTAGATAAAAACTGACGTACACACCACCTCGTTTTTAGGAAAGAATTCATCCACACCATTAGTGCGTTTTTAAGCACAGTCATATTGAGGATGTAATGACTCCGACGACAGCAGCGATGACCGGGATATTCGGAAATTGTCACGCCATTCCTCCGGGAAAGTTCTCCCACCAGTTGGCAGCGCGTCCCGGTCAGTGCATCAGTGTCTTTGGCGGAGAACATGCCTCGGACGTGGAATGGCGAGGTGGGGGAACATAACCGTCCTTAACGCCGTCCTTCACCTTCGTTCTTGTACGTGGAGTGGCATCTGGGCCTGGACCAGAGACAACACGGTTCTGAGGGCGTCCATGCTGTTTCCAAACGTAAACACAGGTCATGTTTTGTCGCAGGCAGTGATGTTTGGAAACCTAAACCCCGGTTATTGACGTCCACGTCCGGATGCATAAACTGAGGATTCGCAGCTCTTCACTTTGGCTTTTCAAAGCATCGTTTTTAATAAATCTGCGAGTGGATGACGGGAAACATCGTAGGAAAATATCTTCATTTTGTGAGACACCCTGATACGTGTGGACGAGGCCTGAGTCTTCCCATCTTTTCCGCTTCCTCCCTGACCGCGGCGTGGCTCGGGAGGAAGCGGGAAAAAAACTGGAATTGTTTGTCCGTCTGTCGGCTTTCATGCTCTCCCAACAGCGCTGCGAGCAGGACGAAGGGATTTGTCGGACCGAATCCAGGTCAGACGGTCAGATTACCCTCCTGATCTGGCCGGAAAACTCCAACATGCTCGATGGGAGGACACTGATTAAAAAGAAAGAAAGAGAAGACAGACGAGGAATTTGTTGTTTTAAAAAAGTAATTTGTATTATATTTGTTGGGATACAATAAGAGAGACAAAAACAATCATATGTACATGAGTGAAAATAAAAACAATAGTAAAAAAAAAAAAAAGAGCTTTAGTGAAGCGAGTGAGGCCGTCGCAGAGGGTTTACGGCGCTTTTAGGACGTCACGGGAGATTTAAAGTAGCCCTGAGATGTGGACGGATCGGACGAAATGGCATCGAAAGACAATTAAAGTCGACTCTTTCGGGGGGACTTAGGAGAAGGGATTTACTTCAAAGCCTTCCAAAACGATGCAGTCGGTGTCCGACGGGTCTAACGAACGAGAACACACTCAGGGAAGTCATCTGAGAGGGAAAAAGTGGAATTAAAAAAAAAAGCCCACAACAGCCGCCGCCGCCATTACCGCTGATATTTTTAATTATCAAGTGTTTTCTGAAGTGCTTCTCTGGAAAAAGGCTGCATTTTAACGAACATCAGTCCTCCTCTCTCTCTCTCCCTCTTTTTCTTTTTTTCTTTGGCAGAGCTGCTGTGGAAGAAGTTAAAGTTTCAGCAATCCTATCTGGGAAAGCACAGCGCTTATTACACAGCTCAATTTCCAATTCTCTCACAGGTACGCACACAAACACACACACACACACTCACACACACACACACGGAATACAAAATGAGGCCGCAGCACAAAACAATCTCCCAGACAGGCTCAGTGATACAAAAACACATAGACAAAAAGGAAAGACGGCTATTATGCGAGGCTGGAGAGGGCCAGTATTCACGCGCTCCTTTATAAGGAAGAAACACAACAACATCTTTCATTCCATTAAAGGACTCGCATCACGCAAACAGAGATGGTTATCCGTGGCGCATTTACGCCGGGCTGCCATGCGGTGAAATGGAGTGGCTGCTCGACGGAGGCAGCCTCCGGGCCATTATACCGCCCCGGAGTGGGGAGCTATAATTGCAGAGGGAGAGCACAATCAGGTGCTGTGTTTGTCTCTGCTCTAATCTCTAAACCCTGCCCGGGCCTTTGCACAGACGGCGAGCTGCCGTTTGCGTCCAGCCTTTCATCTGGCTGCTCGTGGGGAGTCTTTCTAGTTCACATCAGTCAGAATTTCAACTCGACTTTTCGTGCTTTCGGGATAAACGCGGCCGACCCCGGGCTCCGGTTTAACCGTCTTTAACTGCCCCCGTGCCACGATGCAACCTGCGCACCTGGTGCCACGTTGTTCGGTTCCTTCCGACCGGACGACGGAGCAGCCGGCGACACGTTCCAGTCGAAACAATCAACAATGAGCAGCCCAGTCGCATTCCTTCATGTTTACGGTCCCCCCGTGACCCAAATACTTCATCTTTGTTGTGGCGGCTATAAACCGGACTATTAGAGGCGAAACTGGGTTTACAGGCGCCGCCCGGACAAAAGCCTGGCTTCTCTACAAAGCGGAGTTCAGTGCATGATGGTGGAGCTTTTAAATGCTGCCTAAGCAGGATTACTCAGCTGCTGTGCTTCACATGGTCTCACTGCTGCAGGAGAGTACAGTACAGCGCTTGTTCAGGATTGAGTGCAATACTACTTTTAGGAACAACAACAAGAAAAAAAAAAAGAAATAAAAAAATAATTGGAAATTCACTTTCTCTCCTCTCCTGGTGCTCCCAGAACCATTTTGGTCCATTAAAGGCACCTCGCAGAGCTGCAGCTGAAGGCCTGTGCCGGGCTTCATGTCTTTTTGATTAAGTAAGAAGGAAGGAAAAGCCCCTGGAATGAGGATAAAATACATTTTTCAAGGCACAGTTGTCAAAGCTCCTACCCCTGAATATACTGATAAGAGCATGAAGTTTTACATTCATTAAAAAAAAAAAAAGAACAAACAAAACAACAGCGCTGAGTTTTGTTATAAGTGAGGCTGGAGAAGAAGAGAATACTTTGGACTAACTAGCCAAGAGAAGTTCAGTGTTACAGTAAAGTCTGAAAGGCACACACGGAAACAAAAAGTACAAATGTTCACGATTGTCATCTTAAAAAAAACAAACACTTCCTGCGAGCTGGTGCACGAGGGGTCGACTGGAGGTAAATGTGCCGAACGCCGAGGCGCACGGAGGTCAGAGGTTTCCCTCGTCGAGCATCTTGTTGACGCCGTTGCAGATCCTCTGCAGGTGAGCGCGGTACACCTCCGACGGGCCGTACAGCGTCGCCAGGAAGTCGCAGTCGGCGAAGTGATTGAAGACGTGGTTGACCCGCGAGTGGCTCTTGGCCGTCAGGTGGCGCTTGATGGCCTGGTGCAGCAGCTCGCGGCACTCGTTCAGGATGGCGCTCATGACGCGGCGGTCGAAGGTGAACTCGATCTGGTGGAAGCTGACCGCCGTCATGGCCAGAGTGTGGACCTTCTTCCTGTGACGGGGGAGAGGAGAAGCTGTCAGCGTCTGATTCAGCGGAAGCGGGTAAAAATAGAAACTGCTGTCTTGTGATTTTCTTCAGAAAAAGTTTCCCGCCCCCCCGAAGATTAGTTCCAGTATTGTCCTTCACAGCGACACATCTCCATGCTAATATAATCACCATTCTCCATACTGTGCACTTGTGTCAGCTCCTCATGCCTCCGAGCTGAGTTCTACTGTTTTAGAGGGAAATGTATAAACTGATGTCCTTAATTTGCCTCCATCAGCAAACAGAAATGTACTTGAACTGCAGTTTTCCTCTTAACTACATCCTCCTCCTCGTCGTTGTTCCTCCAGGTTTGTCACCTCCTGATGCAAACATTAAAATTCAGTCGGAGACACTTAAGTCGAGTGATTGACCTGATTTGAATGGGAGCAGCGACGAGGACTCTGCTGAGAGAACTTATCCCGCTCAGCAAACACATACATGACATTAAACCTTCAGAAGTCAACAACGCGAAGCTCCACGTGAGCCGGAGGTCGCGGAGCAAAGAGTCGATAGCTGCAAACACAACTTCAGGGCTCTACTTGAGCTAACGTAATGCTTCACACAAGACAGGACGCATCATTTAAACCGCTTTAAAGTGAACATTTTGCAAAACGCACGCCTTTGCTTTGTTCCTTTAGCGAGCCGATTGACGCCTTCTTCATGTTTGTATGTTGAATATGAAGCGAGGAGCCAGCAGGCAATTAGAGGAAAACGAGACCGGTTCTGTCTGAAGCTCCGACGTACGCCGAGCGACACCTCCGCCAGCGACAGACTAACATGTGCGCCGTGTTCAGACGACGACAGCAGAATAGAACGAACAGGAAATCCTCTCATTATTCTGACTCAGGGGGTCTTCACATATGGTTACCGTCACTGCTGCGCCGCACATCTGAAGGAGGTTATTCCAGATAGCGACGGTGGATTTACAGCTGCTGTGCATCTGGTGCAGCATCATTGTGTTGTGTAGTAACAGTAGAGTAGAGCAGAATAGAATAGAGTAGAGTAGGGTAGAGTAGAGTAGAGTAGAGCAGAATAGAGTAAAGTAGAGTAGAGTCTGCTATAGTATAGTATAGTATAGTATAGTATAGTATAGTATAGGATAGTATGGTATAGTATAGTAAAGTATAGTAGAGTAGAGTAGAGCAGAGCACAGCATAGCATCGTAGAGTATAGTAAAATAGAGACTGCTGTAGTATAGTAGAGTATATTATAGTATAGCATGGCATAGCACAGCAGATGAGAGTAGAGTATAGTATAGCATAGCATAGTATTGTATGGGGACTGGGGACTGGAGTTGAGAACTAGCTGTAGCTAAAACTCTCTATGTAATACATCAGATTCATGCCCTGTGCTGAAACTATGGTAATTGCATTGTCCCTATTAAATAAATAAATAAATAAATAAATAAATGTATGGTATAGCATAGTATGGCATGGCATAGCTTGGTATAGTATGGTCTAGTGTAGTACAGGAGCATAGAGTATAGTATAGTAGAACAGAGTATAGCATAGAATAGGAGAATATAGTACAGTATAGTAGAGTATAGCATAATATAGTAGAGCATAGTATAGTTAATAAAATAAAGTGAATAAAGTGTCGTACAGTATAGCATAACAGAGTACAGTAGAGTATAATTCAAGTAAAGTACAATATTGTAGAGTACAGTATAGTACAGTGTAATTATAGTACAATACAGTACAGTACAGTGAAGTATAGGACTATAGAGCATGGCATAGTAAAGTATAGTACAGTGAAGTATAGTTTAGTATAGGAGAGTAGACTGTACTCCAGTAAAGTGTTATTGTACAGTATAGTATGGTATAGGAGAGGAGAGGAGTTTTGTGTCAAGTTTTTTTTTTTTTTTTTTTTTTTTCTGGAAGTTTTTTTTTTTTTTTTTTTTTTAATTTGGAGAATGAAGAGATTTTAATAAAATGATTTTAAGGACTGATTTGGTAAAGTTTCCAAACTAAAGGCACACAACAGATGCATAGTTCAAGGTCAGAACTTTTTTTTCAGTTTTTATGATTTCTGGCTCGGACACATGATGACCTTCTGGTGATCTGTTCCTGTCAAATCATTTCAGTTTGTGGTCCAGAGCGCTGAACAAGAGGATGAGTCTGCTTTATGTTCATTAAGTGGATCTAACCACTACCTCCTGCTCTGAGTCTTTATGCTAAGCTCAGCTAACTGCCTCTAGCTCCGTACTTCATGCAGACATGACAGTGGTTTCCTTTATTTAAAAAAACAAATCAACACCTTCTCCAAAACGTTTTCTTGACTGTCTCGTACCTGAAGTTGTCGACCAGGATGAGCTCCTCGCTGTTGAACTGGTTGTTCCTGTAGAGCACGCCCAGCTTCACCACCATCTTGATCAGGTTCTTGATGATCTTCTGGGACTCCTTGCGGTTGCGGGTGTACTCCTTGGTGACGCGGTACAGCTCGTCCAGCACCTCGCTGCTGGTGTCGTCGATGAAGAGGTTGGCCACGCTCTTGGTGGCCATCTTGCTCATCAGCTTCTTCTGCGCCTGCAGGGCCAAGCTCTTGGTGCTGAAGGAGTCCATGGTCTAAATCTGGAGACGGAGAGCGAGACGGAAGACGACAGCTGAGTCAAAAGGTAATTTATTTCAGGAGCGGCCTTTTAAAGTAAAGCGTGAAAACGTATTTGTCTGCTGCTGTTCTACATTTGACGTAAAATCAGAAATGAAAGGAGAAGAACCTTTACTTAGAAATCCACTTTGACTTTCTCATCTCAAAAGCAAAATAAAAAAAATCCCAAACACACATTAGAGCCTGCGATGTGTGAGGTTATTACGAATAACATCCACGCTAATACTGTTTAAACTTCGGGGCCAAGAACTGTCCCCTTTATCAGATAATGAGCCGTGGCAGCTGTCGAATTAGTCCCAGCAAACCCTCTGGCTCACAGCCCGCAAGGTAGTTAGAGAAGAATGTGTCATTACGCTGTGTGGGAGTGAAGTCGGTTACAGCTCGACCACCGGCTGCTAATCTGCTCCATCGCATTCACAAAAAAAACAAGGTGCGAGAACGCGAGCGGGAGGCAGACGGCGGCGGCTCGTTCACCGCCCGGCTCTGATTTATGCACGACGCCGTTTCTGAGTGTGCGTTTGTTTGCCAAGTGGGGTGACTCAGTGTGAGGCGGCGTCCATGATGGAGGCTCATAAATACTGGGGTGGGTCACGAGGCCCCGCCGGCTTTCACATCCACCCCCCGGCCCCTCATCAAATGAGCACGCCACATCATTTCAGCGGCGGCGGCGGCGGCGTGTCCTGCGGGTCACTTGTTCAGGTTTGTACATTCTGTTTTCACAAAAAAAAAACAACAAAAAAACAGAAATCTATTTTCCCGCGCACTCCCTCTGTAACCTTCGCAGATCTCCAAGGATAACCCGGGAGTACACGAGCGTGAACAGGCAACAAAGGCTGTTTTCCACCTGCGCTGTAAGCTCTACCTTTACGCTCGACACCTTTCAGAGACGGCATTCTAAAATAAAAAAAATTACACTAAATGAAAGTGACTGGTGCTGATTATAAAATATCAGATGATGCCTCTTACAACAGAGCCCAAGGTGACATTTTCGGATAGCTTAAAAGCCAAATATATTTATTTAACATTTATGTAAGAGAGAGAGAGAGAGACAGAGGAGAGGGAAAAAGCAGCAATTTGAGAAGCTGGATGCAGATAATGTTAGAAGTCTGCCAGGCTGAAATACATTAACAACTATGTGATGGATTGCTATGAAATTTGCAACAGATATTCAAGGTCTCCCGAGAAAACATTTCCTCTTGTGCCACCAGACGGTTTATAAAATGTGGCTTTTTATTAAAACATTGGGAATTACGAGATGGATGGTGCACAACATCTCCCCAAAGATGAACCGTAAGACCTTCTCCCGTCCTTTTATCAAAGCTCAAGCCAAATTCTAGCTAATTAGCAAACGGGAACGCGCCAAGCCGACGCATCTGCTTTACATCCGCACGCTTCGTGTCAATAACGTGTGCACGGCCGAACGATTCGCTGATTGTTTCATATCTCCTCGAGCTTGAGGCGGTCATTTATTCCCACTGTTTTCCCGCAGAATGCTTGAGATGGGAAAGGAGTTTTGTCTTTGCTGCAGCTCGAATGCAATTTGTTTGTACTCAATTATGTAAAACTATACTGCAAGGTCAGTAAACAGAGCACCAGCAAACAGTGACAGATTTACATAAATATATTTATTCTGATACACCTGTACGGGTTGGAAACTGAAACCTTTGTTGCGTCCGTCATGTCAGAAGCTGGTGTTTTAACGTTGCATTCGGTGCGTAGTTTTGTGCTTTATTTAGGTAGAATTGGCTGGTTCTGGGTTGTTTTTTTTATAGGCAATATATATAATTACCGGACGTCACCAGAGGATGGAGCATCTCAGAGCTGCAACACGAAAACAAGTTCATATCTTTTCAATATCTGGTGTCACTAAATCAAACAACCGCAAAGAAGGTTCTGGGCTCGCTACGTTACCTCGGGATTCCTCAATCTAACCAGAAACTCATTACCATATGAGAGTGATGCTGTTGGCAGCAGAGGACCAATCACAGTCGTGGGCATATTCCTCACAAGACAAACAATCTGAAACCAATGCGAGGAGTTTAAAACTATAATACGGATTAAAAGCCGAAGTCAGGAAGGAAGGAAGGACGACAACAAACTGCTGAATGTGAAACCGATAGCTTCATTAATACCATCGTCCCGTTGTGCTTAGATTCAGGCTTAGTTATCGTCATAAATAAGGATCGTGTGACAAAATGACAGATGTAGTCCCTTCATGCTGCTCACAAAAAGACATATTGAAAGGATAAATAGTGATGAGAATAAAAGTGTTTTCGTGGTGAAGTGGAGGATGAATTCAGCCTCGTTCTCTCGGCTCCAACCTTGACCGAGTTAAATGACACTTGAAGCGAGCGGAGAACGAGCATTAAAACAGCATTCAAACCACTAAGTGTAGTTCCTGCAAATCTTATAAAGGTCAACAAGTACGCTGTAAAGTTTTACTGTTTTAATCAGTGTCTGTTTTAGGATTATACGCTGTAGAACGGCGGACAGAACGCTGGAATGACTTTGAAAATCGCCCGCAGCTCTAAAAACTCTGACCTTCTCCTCTCGCCGGCTGCACACCGAGCTCTGTGGGATCTTCCGTGAATGGCGACGCCGCTATAAAGAGAACCGACTGGTCAAAAGGTGGAGTTTTAACACACGCCGATCTGTTACCTGGAGCACGGCCCGACGCGGCGCGTTGCCGTGGTGACGTGCCCGGTAAGAAGTGAACCACCATTGTTGTGCTGAAGATCCAGAGGTAAAGTCACCTTGGTAACCTCAAACCCTGCGTCATAGCGCGGGCCTCGGGAACCAACAACAACACAGTCGAGCCACAACCAGTAGGCCACAGAGCGAGCTGTTGTTAACTTGGGTACATGAAGACGTTATCTACACTTCACCGGCCTCTACTTGACTCTACTCTTAGCAGAAACTGAGATAGAGAAGCAGTTGTGGTCCTTAAAACAAAACGCAAACATAGATTAATAACTCATTTTTAAAATTAGTACAATTTTATTCCAACTATCTGAAGGCTGGACTATACCTTTGCATTTCCAGTGCAGTGTGGGAGGTTCATCTCAGTTTGTTTTTGGTTTTTTGGGGAGTGTTAGAGCCATTTGTATGTGTGTTCAGGTCATTCCCCAGTTGCCACAGTAGGTGGCGTATTGGATAGCGGTACATGGAAATGCAGAAGTAGAAGAAGAGGTAATTACTGTTTACCGGGAGAAGCAGACAGTTTTTGACTTAATGTAGTGACTTAATTTCGACAAAGAAAAAAAACCTAAGCCACATTGACGGGCTGGTACCGGGAAATGTAATTGACACGTCGCCGCCGTTTAGAAGCTAATCTTTGAGTCTTTTCTTTGTTTTCATGCAAGTTATAGATGTAAGTGTGTGCATAGCAAAGGCCGTAGTGATACACATTGGTGAATAAACACCTCTTAAGCACAAGTCTGCACATGTTTGATTTACCGCGTGGAGCGGCCACATGACGACGTGTCAGTTACATTTCCCGGCACCAGCCCCTCACTGCGGCTTGGGTTGTTTTTCTTTGTCAAAATCAGGTCGCAACAGAGAGGACCAATAGTTTCAATGGGAGGGACCCACATGCACGAACATTTAGGTGTGTTTGGACCAGATGCCAACATGCAGAACAGAGAAGTTCTCTGCTGTCGCTGTAATTCCAATTTATCATAATTTTCAGACGATTGAGGCACCTGAATATAAGTCGCGCCCACGAACTTTAACAAGAAAGCAAGTTTTGTGCATACACAGGCCGCTGTTGTCTGTAAGCTGCAGGTGTCCACGTTGTAACATGAGAAATTTACACAGAAAGATTTGTTTAACCTTTAATTAAATGCGTACCGTAACGTACACAAATGCTTTTTTCCAAACAGTTTTTGTAACATGACTGGTTAAAACAATAAAAACTACAGCAGCCTACCAGGAAAAGTCATTGATCACTAGCTTCATCTTCCTCCTGCACACGAAAACCAATAAAATCTTCAGTGTCGGAATTAAACAACCTCAGAATTACTTCGTCACACACTAACTCAGTCTCTCTTTTGTCGTCGCTCTCAACGTCACTTACGTCTTGAGACAAATTCGTAAAAATCCATAAATTAGCCACGTTGTTGTTTAAGCCGCAGTGTTCAAAGCGTGTGAAAAAAGTAGCTGCTTATAGTCTGGACATTACGGTAATCTTTACATAGCAGATACTTACATGCAGCTACATTAACGCTATATTCAAAAATTTTTGTCGAGTGAAAACTGCAGCCTAAGACCACTTAATCGACTTGTCGTTAAAATGTCTGAGAAAGCGTCTGGTGTCGCCTTCAGATGATTTTCTGTGACTAACAGCTCAAAACAAAGACGTTGTTTCAGTTCCTACTTTGATGTAAAGCAGAGAAAAGCAGCAAAACTCAATTCTCACAAGTTATAATCAATGGTTGGAGCAAAACGACTCAGAGGACTAATGAGTTGTCATATGAATATTTCTTTTGGCTCGAGTAATAAACTACTCTTTCATTTCTAAACAAAAATACGTTTACCGATTTGGCGTCGCGACCGAAACTAAATCAGCTCCGGTGCTTAAAAAAAAAACTCAAACAATGCCTGTGGCCAAAGTGTGAAGGGTTTTATGAAGTGAGGAAACGCAGACATAAATAAGGGAAACGCTTTCGTACCTCGGGGGAGGTGAAGATAAATACGAAGCAGACTCGAGCCTCAGATCTCATTTCCTTGATAAATCTCCTGACGTGTTACAGACGAGCTAAACGCAGCCTAATAGGCGAAAACAGAATAATTATATTTACAGAAGCCTCCCATTCACATCATGGTGGGGGATTAATCTTTATACAATACGTCTCTACGTGAGGAAAAAAAAAAAAAACACAAAACCCAAAGATTAGCTGAAAATACGCATGAATGGCAAAGTGCCGGAGAGCAGGAAGAAGCCCGAGCTGCAGAGGTGCCATTA